ACTTGATCTGTTGATGTAAAGTTAATTGTGTTGAAAGATAGCTCTATGAAATCGCTGATAGATTTAGGACCTGAATTTGCGGTAAGTGGTGAAGAGATTAGAAGGAGTTCTGTTTGCAAGTGGCTTGGGTTTTTTTTCTTTTGAGTTTAGATCTCAATTTTCTTGCTGTTTCTTTTGGCACCTGGTATTTGCGTGGAGCTTTCATTTTTATACAGGAAAGAGAAACAGCTGGTAAAATACATGAATGAATGTAGACCTAAGATAACAGGGTCAAGCGTTATCTTTGAGTCTTTGAGGCTGTGGTTACAACTACTGTGAAAGGTGAATCTGAGACTAGCACTATGCAGCCTTGTGTTTTATTTTTATAAAGTAGATAATTGTCTGAAGGAATAAAAAAATGTTTGCACTGTCAGCTTCAATTCTAGGTCAGCTGACACTGGCATTGGGAATATTAATCTGCTTTGGAGCATTCATAGACAATCCAATAGCTGAAGCTGAGACCCTCATCCATGCTGGAGCTGTCTTTGCTTTTACTTGCAGAGGCATAAGGTAACAGTAGAAGATACTCAACTCATCTGGACAAAGACATTGATTCCTTAGCACATCCCTGCAATTTGAAATTATAAAAGAAGGTTTTCTTGTGCAGCTATCTCTGGAAATGGAACCTGGGATTTGAATGCCAAACAGGATTAGGTTTTTGAAGCATGTGCATATTTTTTTCTTGCAGTCTCACAAATAATACAGGTTTATCTGGGGGAAGGTAGTTGTCAATACTGTGTAAGTGTTGAATTCCCAGCAGAGTTTAAAGCCCAGATAGTTCCAGGTTTGCTTCTGATAATCTGGTGAGGTGGTGGACTTCTAAGAGCACATTAGGGATCAAATTATTTTTTCTTTTTATCCGTGCTCTCTGGAATAAGCCTCAGTCTAGGAAAGCATTGACTTCTTAGATCCTTCTATTCAAGAGATGTCAAGTTAACAGCTCTTCTTGCACAGTTTAAGCTGCAGATTTAATTCTCTAACTTGACTGTGTTAATAGTAGTGGGATTTTCATCTTCTTTACCTCTGTGTTTGTTTTTGTGGATTTAACCACTGATCTTTGCTCTTCTGCCATTCAAATTACTTGAGACCTACAGGTGGAATCTTATGCCCCTGTGGGATTAGGTGCATCTGAAAGTCAGCTTTGCAAGTTTTGCTTCTACTCACTTGGCAAAGCTGAAATAGGCTTGCAGTAAACATTGATTAGAGGCAAATGTCAAAAGTTGGATAGGTAAGATGAGCAAGTGGTCTTCTGAACAGCATTCCCTATAAACCACTGTAAACATTCAGACACAGGAGTGTTGCAAGTTTTGCTCTTCTTCACTTCGAGTTTATACTGTCAGTAGGAGTTTATTTGCTTACCTACTCACTCTACCAGGTGAAACTCATGGAGTCCTGGAGAAAAAGTTAAACCTTGTGTTCTCACAAGTCAAGATGGTTGAGGCCTAGTGTATGACTGAAGATACTGAAGTGCACAGTGGTTTCAGGTAGTAGAAATTTCCTAAGTAGTTTACAAAATCCCACATGTATTATTGAGAAGAAGAAATCTAATAATTGTCTAACTCTTAAAAAATATTTTTCCAAACTGGCATACACCCTAAATTGTGTTAAGCCACAAACTAAAAAAACGCCCCTTATTCTGAGCTAGTGAGGAGGGTAGCAGGAATGGTGGTATCAGTTGGCCACCAATTTATAGAACACTTTTGCTGCACAGGAGCTGGTGATGGGCTGTTTATGGCCTGCTGGGACTTGGAGCACAAAGAAGTGGCTGTCACTTTCACAATATTTCTAGTAGTGAGTTAAATAAACAAGGGTGGAAATAGATTTCTGAATAAAATACACTGTCATTGCTGGTGACAGAACAGCTGGCATGCTTCTTATAAGTTGCTTATTTGTACAGGGTGCACAGTTATTGAATTGATTCTCTTTGTTTACCTACGAGCACTGTTTACAGACAGTTTTTCATAAACAGATTATTGTCAAGCCTTGCAGCGCTTATCCTAAAGTTCAAGTGAACTAGATAAATCCGTGTAGTTCCTGGATTATGCTTTCATTTAGTGGTTCTGTTCAAACTCAGTGAATCTTGTGACAACAGAGCAAGGTCTGGTTCCTCAACATTTGGGGACTCTTTATTTCACTCCTTGAATTCCAAATGCTTTCTCTATTATATGGAATTTTTTGAGGGCTGGGAGAGTGAGGTGTTGCATTTTGACAGAAGTAGAAATTGGTGATTTTGCAGACTTGTTTGTGAGAAATACAGAACCATGTTGCACTATAAAACTTCTCTGCCTTCTTATGATGTATGCAAAAACAGTGCTGGCTGCTGTTATATCAGCTAATTATCACTGAACAACACTTGTTGTAGGCAGACTTAAAAAGAAAAAGCATTGAGTAGCTGTGTCTGCTCTCTTCCCTCATAATCCACAGCTGAATGAAGTATTTCTAACACATCCACAGTGAATATCTGACAGAATTGCTGTTGCAGCCAGGCATCCCTTGTGGTGATTTAGGTGTGGTGCAGGGGAGCATGCATGATAAAAGCACCAGGTCAGTGTTAATCTTCAACTTTGGAAAACTTTTCCAGTGGGATGTAGCTGTGGAGCCAGTAGCATTAAAGGCTCCACATTCCAAGCCCCGTTGAAGAATGCAGGCCAAGCTTTTTCCTCCTCCTTTCTTCCCCCTTCCATAGTATTTATCTCATTAATATAAACCATACCACGTGCTTTCTTTTGCTATTACTGTTGCTTGATAACAAGTTCTTACATAACCTGTCCAAAATCAAATGCAGAAAGATCCTGAAGAGAGTAGGCTCGAGGGTATCAGAAACAGAGGGGTTGCAAGACAGGAAATAAACTCAAAAGCCAACTTCCTACATTGCCTGCCCATGTTTCAGTGTCAGCTGTTGATCTGCTGGCAATGCAGTAACTTGCTGTCTGTTTTGAAGAGGCTCAAACTCTAAAGCTCCATGTCAAGTTGTTTTCAGGTGTGGCCTACCTATGGTTCCCATGTGGTATTCATGTCATGAACCTTAACATGTTACAGGCTCCTACTGCTTCCAAGGCTGGTTAAAATAAATATTACCATATTTAGTCTGTCTCTTCCTACAACTCTTATTTTAAAAAGCCTATTTGTAGTTTACCATTAGAAGATTAAGCAAGGGAATTGCTTGTTCAGAGATGTTTGACTCGGATTTTACAGTAATATGTTTAAATCGGTTACCATGTGTGTACAGCACACAGTGGAAGATGGTCTTCCATCTTAATGTGAGAACACTTTTTTCCAAACTGACAAAGAAACCCGATTTCTTTCCTCAATTATAACTTGGACTAGAGTGGACTCGAGTCTAATGTTGGAGTTAGGGGTGGGACAAGATGCCTTTAGGCTTAGTAATGGGATGCCTCTAGGGCAATAGATTTAAATGGAGCATTAAGTGAACATCATCAAACATTATCCTACTTTGCAGCTGTTGGGTATTGTCAGTGCAGTTCATACAAACAGGTGAGTTTAGGGTGCGATGCTGTGGTAACAGTTACCATTATTTCTGGTATTCTCTGCCGTAGAAGAGTCAACAGACTAAAAGCTACCTAAAAGCTATTACTCCTTATTTGTACTGAACTCTCCTTTGCATTTTGAAAGGCACTATTTTAAAAATACTGTTGAACAAGTCTTGCAGCTTTTTAAAGGTTTTAGGGGTGTTTGAGCCTCTCCTGTTACAACAAAATAGCTGATAACTATTTTGTCAGAATCGAAACACCCACTCCAGTTACTCTATCAGAGGAGTGAATGCTGGGCCCTTTGAGTTTAGCACAAATTGTATTTGTATGTTAGTGGGTTTCAGACTGAGTTGTTAGTAGCATTAATTACTACCTTGATTTAAATCTGGGTTTGTTTTTTTTTCTTTTTTTGTTTTGTTGGGTTGCTTTGTTTTTTTAAAAAAGGGGTGCAGATAGTGTACTGGTCATTGTTTTCAGAAGGGTATTTTGTGAAGTTAAAAATACTGATCTCAAAGATTCAAGATAAGAACTTTTTCTTTTTTAAATGGTAATGCCAAGGGATTTGGGGTTGTCTTCAGAATCAGAATTTGTGGATTTGATATTCTTCCCTCAGAGGCTGTATGTTATCACAGTCAAACAGATACAAATGTAGATATTAATAAATCTGTTATGAAAAGCACCAGAAGAATCCTCTGAGCAGAGCTGCTAAAAGGCAGTATGTTCTTGGCTGTGTTCTTTCTGCTCTAGCAGAATGGGAGTAACTCCGTTGTCAGCACAAGTCATGCACGGCTTCCTTGGCATGCTCACAGAAACGAGTGGCAGACTGAAGGAAAACCTGCAAGTCTATACCTGGTTAGCCACTTAGAGCCCTTCTGTCTTGGCAGGTCCTGCCCTACAATATCTAGTCTGTTTTGCTGTAATGGACAGAACTCGGGAGACACTGAGAGAATTGTTGCTTTCACGGTACAATGCCCAAAATAAGAATGGAGTTTTGAAGATGTCTTCATAAGTATTTTTAATTGCTGCACCACAGGTTTTATCTGTAGCCCCGTGTGCATAGTGCATGAATCTTTTCTACCTTTAAGGATTTTTGGTACCTTGTTCGTTGTCAGGAGCGCACTAAACATTCAAAAAAAAGTTAAAATTTACCATAAGAAGTTAAACATTTCAGATACTGAGCCACTTTCCAGAACTGATATGAACAGCATGTACTGAAGACTGCATCTTCACTACTTCGGGAAACTTTATTTTTGTCTGTTTAACTTTTGACTCCAAGGTGTGGGGTTAACAAACTGACTTAACAGTTTGCTTGCCTTCAAGGGCAAATAACTGCAGCATTGTTATGTGTGTTCTAGTCACTTCTTCACCTTTTACAATATGACTGTATAGAGTATAATGTTAATTATGTGTGAATGTGTTCTTTAGGTTTTTTTGCAGTTAAGAATGTGATGATCCTATTTCTTTGTGCAGATGTGGAGGTACTGTTGGTGCAATTCTGACATGTCCACTGGAAGTTGTGAAAACACGATTGCAATCCTCCTCTGTAACTCTCTACATCTCTGAAGTCCATCTCAACACTGTGAATGGTGCTAGCGTCAATCGAGTAACTAGAGTTTCTCCTGGACCTCTCCATTGTTTGAAGTGAGTGTACATGTTACTAGTTTTGGCATTGTTTTGGGGAGCGGGGAGGAGAGTTGTGTTGAACAAATCCATATGAAAGAATCACTCATGTCTGTCATGATGCTACCATGAGATGACTTTCCATATTTTGCCTTTTAACTGTAATTGTTTCACATTCCACTTTCCTGAATGCCCTTCATGCTTGAGTTTGTACCTTGAATTAGTCAGAGCATATGTACCTTGTATAATTCACAGCTCCAAACTATGTCACCAAAAGTCACTGGGAACACGGTAACACTTGAGTGCCAGACTCTATTTTCATCCTAAAAAAGTGTTAGTATAAGAGTTTTTAAACTGTTTTGGGTCCGAAACATAGATGTTGTTGAATAGGGACTCTATGGAAATTAGCTTAATTTTCTAGTCTCTCTGGACTTTCATTACTCTGTACCCTTCCTGCCTTTTAGTATCTTCTGGTGGATGTGTAGTTAATAAAACTTTTAGAATTAGTAAGAGGTAGGTAAGGCCAAATTTTGCCATGCTCTGGGACATTTTGCTTGCATAGCACCTCTCTGAATGGACACTGTGTTTCCTCGCCTTATCACCAGTGCTAATGATGTTCCGTAGCCAGCAGGAAAGTTGTATGGCCCCAGTTAAACTGCTAGAATAGACCACAGGCAGAGTTCACTTCACTGTGGGAGAGTCAAGCTAGCCAGTTATGAGGAGGTACCTTCAGTATTTGGCAATGAGGAGAGCCTTCCTCCAGAAAGGACCTGCTACTGCTTCTTGCATTAGAAAGAATTTGATAAGAATCAGACCAGTTGCCTTCTATCCCCAATTAATCAGAGAGAAGTAGTTTGTAGAGAGCCCCTTTTGGCAATTGCAGCATAGGATTCAGGCTTAATCTAGTCAGAGGACAGGATTTGCTTAAATGGGGATTGTACCCAAATAGGTCCTTGAATGGAAGGTAGTTGTCATCAGGGAAGTTTTGATTCAGAACCTGATTATGTGTACAAGTCTGAGTGAACATGCTGGGAACAGGCATGTGGGAAGGGCTCAGGTTGTGACAAGGAAGAAGAGCCCCATCCAAAACACTCGCCTTATTGGCTTGTCTTGATAAAAGTTGAGCCCTTCAGCTTCTTCCCTGAATGCTTGGTTATGAATTCATCTTCTGTTTAGAAACGTGTCTGAATAGCAGGATGAAGAGATGTTTGTTTCATGTGCCCCTCTGCTAGAAGCCTGCTATGCTTTAAACTGATCACTAAAACCTAAAATAACTTGGTCTTCCCAGGAAACAAATTCAGACTGAGGTAGAGGTAGTTCATGATGAACTTCATTGGTAAGGCTTGTTTGTTTTGTTTATTTTTTTTAAATAGGCTTCTTTGACATATGGTTTGTTTATCTGTGATACAGGAATGTGTATTTTCTGCTGCTGCTGTTCTTTGCTTAGTTGTGTTTTCTTCCAGGTCGGTGTTGAAGAACAAGTAACTTTTCTGGGTTTCAAATTAAATACAGTAAATATGGAAAAAATCCCAAATGTCATGGCAATGGACTGTGATGAGAAAAATACATAGGTGCAGGACATAATTATTCTTGGTTAAGAGACTAGGGCTGTTTAGTGTGAAAATCACACTGGATCCTTCTGTTACTCTCATGCCTTTAGTGTCACTTGATAATTTTCTGACTTGGTGTCAGGGTTTGATTGTCTCTTCTCATAGGAAAATCAGTTAAGTGCTCCAAGGGTCATGATACTCAGTCTAAAAGCAGGGTGAATCAGGCAGATGACATCAGCTGTGGAATCACTTCTGCATCTTAAGTGTCAACAGAGGTGACTTCAAAGGCATCTCTATCAGGAAACAAACTCAGAAGAACTGGTACAGGTGACTGCATTCTCTGGCAACAGAAGTGAATTTCCTTATTCTTAAATATCTGTGCTGTATATCATATTGCCAATGCCTCTCATAACTAACCTTGCTGTGTTTAAACCTGAAGTCTTGATAGTGGAAAACTGACCAGCCTCCCAATGCAGGCTTCCCCATGTGATGTAAGCAGGTCCGCTGAGGCCATATGGAGCATTTATGGTACTCTTCCAACCATGGATTTACCATTTACTGCTTTCAATAAACAGTGCAAGCTTTAGGATCTGCTCTTTAATGCAAAAAGCTTGTGTCTTATTTTCAGGGTAGGGTCTGGAACCCCTCCAGCTAGTGTCTGTGAATGCAGAAGAGCACCAATAACCACGGTCACTATAACCCTGTCTACTGCAACCTCTGTAACTCTCTGTTGCTCTGTCAAGTGTTGGGACACTGTAGATCCAGAAGAAACAAGTAGACTGGTACACTTCACTCTTAAGTTTCTCTTAAGACCCTGAGGTTCCTGCTGCTTTGTATATGTGCATATATACATATGTATAACCTATGATGTGGTGATGGTAGTGATTTTCTTAGTGTTTTAAGTGGACAGAGATCATTCTTCCTGTAAGTGTTAGAAATGCTTTCAGAATGACAGATGTGTCTAATTTTCATTTCCATAGTGCTTTTGCATATGTGTTCAGTGGTCCCAAGTATTGCTGTGAAGCAATGCTACCCACATAGTGAAACCGTATCTAATTGTTATGGACATGAATCTAAGATGTTGCAAGATGCATTAAATGCCAGCATTTCTAAATAGTGATGACAACTGCAGAACCACCATTTTCTTCTTGCTTACTGAAAGCACATGTAAACTTTCAGCTTGATTTAGGAGCAGAACTGTGGTAAACCAGCTGCTGGGAATCAGAATAGGTTTGGAATCTCCTTCAGTGCTATAGATGGCTTTCACCTGTTTGTTCTGATAGTAAATTTCAAACAAAATAGCCATTTATACAATGGTAGTTTGCTTTATAGAGTAATTGACTTGTCATTAACCTGTGTGTCTCTTTGAAGAAGAAATACACAGGAGAACTATTTGTGTGTGTTGGCCAGTGTTTGTAAATCAATAAGCACAGAGTTCTGTTTTGTAACATCTAGTGAAGTAGTTAAGAATTAACTTTAAATCTGGTTCTAAAGCAATTGCTAGAGAAATTTGCAGTAATGGGATGCAGATAGACCTTGTTTCTCCTTGCATGTCCTACCATACTTTTTAAAAATACCATATATGATTAGCATCTAGATTGTTGGACAGATAGATTTCATTAAAAGTGAATATCATAAAAGCATATCCTCTTACTACATCAGTGTACATTGCTGCGTAATGGTTTTCAACTCTTTCTAAAAACCACAGTTACATCGGGTAGATATTCCAAACACTTAAGTACTGGTAATGCCTCATTTGAGGTCTCAATTCACTGTTTCTATCCCTATGTTTCTCTGTAAATCTGACAAAGATGGAAGGTGACACCCCCCTGCCACCGAAGCAGTCTTTCCAGAGCTGTATTTATTGTGGACCTGGTACCACAAGATGATAGGGCTGTACTGTGGCTATGTCTGTTTGCATGGATTACAGTCCTTTTCACATTAATCTGAAATGTGAGTTACATTTCATGAAGATGTAAGGTTTGATTTTTCTGGAATGAGTTGAAAAGGAAAAAAACACTGGCTCTGTATCCCAGTAGCAGTGCTTGGGTAGGAGGACATAGGCAGCAGTTCAGAACTGATAGGAGGGAATCCCTGCCAGCCTCAAGAAAGGGCCACTTCTCATGTTGGACATTTCCATTTTTTTTACTGTAGTCAAAATAATCACCATAACTTACAGAAAGAATAAAGCTAAGAATGGGTACCTAGTTGAATGCTTAGTGGATTTAAACCTTTTATGGGTATGGGGCTGGCAGGACTTTATCTGAAAGGCTGCTTTCCTCTAACTTCTGATATGTAACTTAGGGTACTGTTAGGAGTCTTGTAGAATCAAAGCAAGGTAGCACATGCAAAGCCATGTTAAGGTTTTGGTCTTTTTGAGGAGGATATATCATCAATTGCAAAAGATGTCCCTGGCTCAGCGTGATAATCAATAGAGCTAACATATTACTGAGGTGCTCTCAGAACGTATATGACTTGCTGTAAATGAACCTTCATAAGCTCTCTCTTCTCTCCTCCTCTCTTGCCCTTCAGCCCCTGTCCCTCCCACCCAAGAAAGTTCCCAGACATTGGGAGCTAAAGGGTGATGAAAGCAATGTAGAATAAAAGGAAATATTTTTCTCTTCTGAACAATCTACAACCCACAGGAATGTGAATATTTCCATGCTTAGTATTTTTCTCCCTGATAAAAGGACACTTTTTTTTACTGCCTAATGACAGATAAATCCATGTATGTATGTGTTCCTACCTTTGAGGTAAATCTGCACTGACATCATAAAGTTTCACTTCTGCATTTAGTTACTAGATTTCTATGGCATGTCAAGCAATAATGAATGTTATTTTATGCAGTTCCTAGGAAGGGATTGATTTTTATGCAATCAGCACTGCATTGGCAGTTATTATGAAAGGTTTACACGGGGTAAAGCGGAAATTATGTAGTTATAGTCATCAATTCATTCCTTAATTTTGATATGAATGTTAAAGTAATGTTACTTTTTTGTTTTCTAGGATGATCTTGCAAAAGGAAGGTCCTCGTTCTCTGTTTAGAGGGCTGGGTCCTAATTTAGTAGGCGTTGCTCCTTCCAGGTAAATATAAATGTTTACAGTAAATGAAATAATTTTGAGGAAACTTTGGTTGCTGTACATAATTAAAGGGATTTAAGGTTTATTTGAAGTGAGTTTTGCGTCTGCATTTGTAAACACTTAATAGTAAATAACCTTTGGTTCCTGGGGTAATTTTGTTGTCTGAGAAATTGAGCCACTTGTGGGACTGGAGCTGTGGAGTACATCCCAGCACCAACTGTCTCAGCATTTACTATCCTATATGCTACTGTAATAGTATTTACTGTTGTGTACTATCCCTTATGCAGAGTTTTGTCCAGTTAAGAAAGAAAATGCTTAAGGAGCTGCACATATAAACAGGAAGTTGTACCTTTGAAAGTACAAAGGTAGATTTACCTTTCAGTTAATCCATAGTCTTCAGGAAGCAGTTGTGTGGCTGTAGCCTCAAAGTGCTGGGTCTTTCTTCCCGAATTCTGGTGACACAGACTGCTGTCCCCCTGCATTAGGAAGCCAGTTCTGAAACTTCAGGAAAGGCAAGACTGGGTAGGATGACACACTTACAGCTGTTCCAGGAAAGCAGATCCAGCAGTGGGCCAGACTCCAGAGGGTACTGGGGCAGTGTCAGTGCAGCAGAGGAGGATGTAAATCTGATGTAATCGGCAGTGGTATTGCTGCTGTCAGTTGCTCTGCATCAGCACAAATACTCCTGTTCCTTGGCTGGTGCTGGCAGTCAGAGCAAGGAGCAGATAATGCCAGAGTTTGAACTGGTCCTTACATGCAAGTCTTAGCCTAAGTTCAGTCCAAAAATAGAATACCTTAGGAAGAGTATGGAAACAAGCTGTGTAAAACTAAAATAACTACTTAATCCTGGATGAGGCTGTAGTTGTTTTCTGGCCCGTTTTTATTCCCTTGTATTCTGTTTAACAGAAGAGTGTTTATGCAGAGGAAATATGTTCCACAGAGGTTTTAATCTTCCCTTAACTTAGTGCCCTGCTTTCAGGGTGGATGCTTCTTGCTTGGTTGCTTTTTTTTTTTTTTTTATTTGGTCTGAAGAGAAGACATTCCTGTCTCCTATTCTCATCTTAACTTTTCTTAACTTTCCTAGTTTAAGGTATTTAGATGCTTCTGGAAAATTTTATTCAACTGGATTTTCCATTCTGCATTGATCTGTGTTCTGCTTAGATCTGGCAGATGAGATGGTGTTCTAGAGATCCTCTGCATGAATAAGAGAAACATAATTCGGAAATTGTAGTACTTTTCTTTTAGCAGATTTTAAGGCATTAGGAATACCTGAGGTATTTTCTGGTCACTAATTTAGCATTGCTCTTTGAAGAAGCTGAAGTATTTCCAGTAGCTTTCTTTGTTCCTGGCATCTGTGGGGAATCAGCACTTCTTCATCTGAAGAGCCTGTATTTGTGGTAGTTCAGTCTTGTCTGAATGTTCAACATAGATATTACGTTTTTAACAGAAATTTTTATATAGTAGCGGATTCCATTTCATAAGTGACTATCCTCAATGAAAAATATCCAAAATTGCAAATATTGTAATTCTTTTCAGTAAAGTTTGTTATATCTTCCAATTCTCTTTCCTTCCTCTCCCAGGTGAAGTACTTAGCTTGTTCTCTGCCCCTTCCCCTCCACAAAAAATGTCAAATTGATAGAATGTGAGAAGTCTAACAAATAAGCACATCCTCATTTCCCTCTGGCTGATAGTTTTCATCCAGTACTTCATTTCAATTAAGCATTAGCTAAGTGGATTTAACAGCAGGTTTTTGTTTAAATAAGCTGTAGAGAAGCGTGTTTCATAACACATCTAGTATACTTAACCGAGTTCAGGTTCCATTTTAGACACTACACCCATGAAGCAAGCAATTTATCTTTTTTATAATAAAGAAAAACATGTTTGCACAGCTAATGAGGTTAATGTTCTGTTCATCAAAACTTACATGGTCATTTTTTGTCTTGTATAGGGGTAGCTGAGCTTAAAAAAAACTGAGTTATAACCTTAAATGTGAGTTTTAGATGAGCTTAAAATATGCTTTTTAGCTTTGAGTGAAAACAAGCATTTTTCGTAGTGTATTGCATTAATATGCTGACTTCCATGTCCAGCTTTGTTTTGACACCAGCTCACAGACTTCAATGTAGTACAAGCTTATGAATTTTTTGGTAGGAAAAAAAAATCTGTGTCTATTCTAAACATACAACTAAGGAAACAACATGTGGATCCCAGCTTCACAGCTGTTCCAGCATTTAAAGTATAAATATGTATAACTACAAGTTACAAGGCATAACCAGAAGCTATCAATATTTATATCTTAAATGCCATAATAATATTGAGTGTGCTGTTTGGTTAAAAAAAAGAAAAGCTACATACTTGCTAATTCTCCTGAAATTGCAATGCTTTTGAAATGAATTTAGTTCTGTTAGAAGAAATTTGATCTGGTATTAAAGAAATACAGAATACTAGAACCTCAGTTCGCAGTTCAGCAGTGTTTTGCCTCCCTGGCTAAACTTCCCAGTGTCACAGAAACCAAGGTCGTATTTCTAATTATCTATCTTTCCCCTCACTAATTGTTAAATGGAGCTGCTGTGAAAGAGAAAGTTGTAAAGTATGATTTTTTTTTTTATTATTATTATTTTCCATTCCTAGAATGGTCCCACTACTTTGCAATAGTTAGTCCTCGAGTAATTGTTTTTTTTTACTGAGGAAGTAAGACTTGAACCAAGATTGTCTTGAGTTAGTGGAGTCAATGTCACTGCTTGTAAGCGTATCAACACATAAAACATAATGTAACTTGGATTTTCTTCTAATTTTAGAGCGATATATTTTGCTGCTTACTCGAACTGCAAGGAGAAGTTGAACAATATTTTCAATCCAGATTCTACCCAGGTACACATGATTTCAGCCGGTGTGGCAGGTAAGGATCTGTAACTTTTTAGCTTCATTCTAGAGTCATATCTACAAATGAGAGGTGGCAATAAATGTGGAAAAAAACCAAACCAGAAAATGTTTAGTGATTGAATTCTCATTTTATAGTGGTTACCTTCTTTGGCCTGTCATTCAACAAGCTATTTGGAGAATATGTGCATGAAGCTTTGTACTCAGAGTTAATGGAGATCTGTAATTCTCTGTGTGAATAGTTTTTTCTAGGAAAACATGCATGCCTGCTTTTTCAATTACAAATCTGTGACATGTAAGATGAAAACTTTCAAAGCAGTAACTTTTTGCTCTGCAAGATACAAACAACATGGTCTGCACTGAATTCTGGTTTAAAGTTTCTTAATCTGTTTTTTTTTTGCCATCACTTTGTTACAGCTTTATATATCTGATTTATTTTTGTCTTTCTGAAATATGCCTGCAGATACTTGTATAAATTATATGCAACATTCCCTCCTCCTTTGTTTGAATACCAGTCTCTGTGAAGTTTGCTCTACCACTAAAGCAACATAGAAGAGCAGATTTCTGTAGTTTTCCATCTCTGGAAATTCCTATTTTTTACCTGCGGTGTAACTTTGGTAAATTTTAGCAACTACCAGTATTTGTTGCTTGATGTGTATATTGTGCTTTCAGATCATTAATGAGGGGAATTAAAGGCAACTGAGCTGAGTTATGGTCATGGACTTGTGCTGGGGAAATCAAAACTTGGGCTGGCAACACTTTATCTGTTGTTGCCTGTGTCCTACACAAAGTTTCAAAAGCTGGTTTTTTGTTTTTGTTTTTTTTTCATATGTGGGCTATAGACTCTTCACAGATGAATTGTGACAATTTTATGGTAGCCTGGAAGTTTCTAATTCCTGTCAAACTGTACAACCAATGTATGTAAAGTGAGTACTATCAATCTGGAATGGACTGCCCAAGGTGATGTCAGAATAATGAATAGGATTAGTTTTTCTGTTTAAAACTTGCTAATAATGTGATACAAAGAAATTGTTTGATATCATAGAAAGTTTAAGTGACTTTGGCTTTATACTTAAATAATTCATTTGTAACCTGTGAGAAATGCACCGGCAGTTTTAATCTTAGAGATGTAAGGAGAGCTGTTTTATATTGTGGCCAAAATAAGGTGCTTACATGATGCAGTATTTTTTATCATCTGGAAATGTGTCTTTTTGTTTGTAGGTGAACAGCAGGGGGAAATGGGATGGAAGGGGATTTCATGAAAGGTTCATCCTGATCAGTTAATTGCTTCAAGAAAAATGAATTGTGTTCAGCTCTTTGTCAAGGGGATAAAACATGTTTTTAAATTCAGGGCAGGAAGAAGTATGGGTAATAGAAACAAGTCTGTGCTCAGTTGAAGATGGCTTGTGTAACTCATGCAGTACTGCAGACAAATGAGTGTTCAGTGTGTTCCTTATCTTTGGAAGTTACTGCCCTCATGCTGTAATGAAAAGAACGTTCGTGGAGATTTGCTGTAGTGACTTCTCCCAAGTGCTTGCAGACACAGGCGGTAGTTTGTCAAGGAGTTCTGTGTCTGCTTGTTAACTTGCTTCCCTTCCAGAAGGTTGGTATTACGTCTTTGTGCCTAAGACTGCAGGAGACTGGGGTAAATGTGTTTGAGCCTTACTTGCTGGTCACCTTTTTTACATTTATATACAAGTTTTAATATTGAGCAACTTTTGTAGTTGTTACCTTTCTCACACTTACCTAGTGCTGGGATTGTATTTCTAAACTGTGTAGCCAATGAAACTGATTGCCCAGTGGGGGTTCACCCTACAGGTCACAACTTTCTCTCTTGAAATGTCTTGGCACTGTATACTGCAGATGTTCTCTGGAAGACCTTCAGAAGAAGGTCCTTTGACAAAGTTTCTCAATACTCCATACTGGCAGTATTCTGATTATGAAAAGGACTGTAGTTAAAATTAACAGTGCTTTCTTGGGAACATGCTAACCTTGTTTTTGTAATTCTAATATATTTCAGAAAATGCACTTAACCCAGCTATTAACAGTTTTACCTGCAAGGTTTGTATTGCTATATGATGCAAATCAATTTAAGGAACTGGGAAAACAGGGACAAGGTTGAATGTGAGCTCTTAATTGGTTGTCTTAAGCAGGTTAACACAGAAGATCAAAGTAACATTTGCTTTGGAACTTAAGATTTCAAAATTGGCAAGGTAGATAAACACTTCTAACAATTAGCAAAAAATAATCAGTATTGGTTTTTTCTTTTGCAGCTGCCATTGGTTTCAGTAAGGAATTGAGTAACTCAGTCTTAAACGAGGGGGGTTTTTTGTTTGGATATGACCTCTCTGTTACATAAAGGCTTCTAATACCTAATAAGCATGAGGTGGTGTTTGCACTTCCAAAGCTTTTCCTGTAGGTTGCAAAATACAGTAATGATGCAAAAATACCATTTAAAAGAAATCTGCAACTTACTGTTTTATGAAAGTACTTTATGTAGTGAACTTTGGTCAAATTTAAATAATGTTTACTTGTATCATATATTAATACATAAATATCTCAGGCTAGACTGATGTCATTGTTGTAAAAGGTTTATTTTATATAAATAAGAAGCTGAGGTATGGTGTTTTAAGCATTTTTGGTTTTAGGCCTGATTCTTCCTTCGCAAGATAAAACACATTTTTGGTTTTATTAAGGTTCTTTTAAGTTTGTTTTATCCCAAGGAGGATGAATTATGCTACATATTAGTAACTGATGCCTTATGCAATTAGAAATTAATGTTTTGCTCTCACTGTGTGCTAGCTTCCAGCATATAATTCACATCACCTTCATACCTAAAATACTAGTATATTGACATGAAGAAGTACTCGGCAATCTTTTTTGCTTGCTACTTGGCATATCACACAGTTTTCTTTTTGCAGACTTGAACAGTGAATATATCTGAAGCATACTATGAGAATGAGAGTGTTTGCTTGTGTGAAGATAGTTAATCTCTGTACATTTCACAGTTAGGCTAAATTCTCAGATTCACTATCAACTCTGCCTTCTCATTATACTTACTCAGCCTCTTTTGCCACAGAGACTAAAGACTGTAGAGAACTGAATGAGATACTTGAATCCTGTATGGCTTTCTGATTTGCCTTTTTAATAATTCATAGCCTCATTCAGACAACATGGTTGCAAATCTGCTGCAAAACTACTTTGCCTGATGTTATTGCTATTTTTTCTAGAACTCTATTGGCAAACCAACCCAAATGTAGATTTTTTTTTTATTGTAAAAAAATTGGGACTACTTTATTACTTAGACCATACTTTTCTAATATTTTAGTAGTATGTACGCAGTTACTTAATACCAATTAAAATGCATATTTAGATCATTGATTACTGATATTAGAAAGTTTGATTTCATAAGGCATCTATCTTGCTTTTTTGGTCCTAAGACAAGGCTAGATTTTTTTTTTTTATGTTTCTTGGGAAGGAGGAGGTATATAGGTAAGTATTTGGAGATACAAAATTGAACTGCTGCAAATGAGCAGAAATTTCAGTACTCAGTGCATTTTACACAACTATTTTAATATCTGTGGCCTGTTCTGATTATTTTTCTTTCTTCTTTTCCCTAAACTTTTACCTGAAAACAGTTAGATCTCACAATAACTAATTCACAAATCCTTCCAATGGGATTCGATTTGTACACATGTGTCTGATGAGGTCACTGCTTGTTGTTATGATACAGAAAAGCCTGTGTCTATTTTAGGCATTTACTGTACATTTCTCCCGTGAAAAGAGTGAGATCGTGTCATCTCATGCTCCCCATCCGCAGGTCACTTCCTGCAGAAATATGGACTAACTTAAACCTCGTGAGTACTGAACTGAGCGTCTCTTGCAGCCTCTAGTGTAAGAACCACACATTGGGTTTGTAATATCTATTCAATAAACAAAATAAGGGGAAATTAACTTTCATTATCTTGAACTCAGATGATGTGCATTGTGCAAAGACGTCACTTCTTAACTCTGTTAAGAGTTATTTTTTTATGTGCAGGTCAGGGAAAGGTGGAACATACCTTTCACTGACAGCTGCTACTTTATTTAGCTCTAGCTAATTGGAAGTCCCTACTGGGTTAAACAAGGCTTTTTGGGTTTTTTCAGTGTCCCAGAGCTGCCTTTAAAATGCTGCAGCTGATACTCTGTGTTGTCACATTATTTCAAAGACCTCTTTTCTTTATCTTTTTTAATATGTATATAATCTCCTTTCTGTCTCTTTGTTTTCTCTTTTGGTTTGTTTTTATTTTACTACTTTGGATTTTTAATTCAGCATTCCATATTCACATGCGTCTGTATCAATTGCATTGGCTTATAGATTAAAAAAAAAAAACCCTAACCTTTCAAATATGATGCATAATAGGAATACCTGGGATCTTACCTGTCAGTAGCTGGTAGAGCTGAAAAAGTAGATTGAGATAATTCTTTGTCTGAAACTGGGATACAATTTCATAGAAGAAAATAAAACAGAAAAGTACAGGAGTTTCTGGTATTGCCAAATTGATCTACACTTTTAAACAATCTGGAATCTTTTTTGAGGATCCAACACATTTGATAAGCATTGTAAGGCATAATAAAATTCCCCGAGGCTTCTAAAAAGAAAAGGAAACAATGGATAGAGCTTCATAATAGTTGAGAGTGCCCCCACTTCATTTTTAACAAGTACTTTTGCTACAGATTTTCTGTATTTAAAAAGAAAAGCTTATCTTATCAAAGATCCCAAATGGTATATTTCATGCTTTGGAGTGCTTTCCTTGGTGTCAGCATCACTTAACTCTTAATTTATATTTTTTTCTTCCAGTAACTTTATTTACCCCATTACCTGTAAGAATTGAGCTGTAGTCATTTCATCTTGAAACCTGATTTATTGAAGGCTTTATTTGAAAGCTTTGGCTTGAAATGTTGTGCAATTTAGGCTTAGACAGCCTCAGGGAAAAAAACCTGGCTGTGTTGCTAAGTGTCTGATCCTACTGTTAGGGGTGCTATACTTAAATAATGTTTAGAGTGCAAGTTCAGACAGAATAGGCTGTGTCCCACGCCAACTGCTCTTTACTGGCAATTTCCAGTACACGCTTCCCAGCCTGCAGAAGTACCAGGCTGCTGCTGTGGGTCAATACAGTCACTACTGCCACTCAGACATTGCCTCTGATCTCACTTATGTGTTCCCTCTTCCAGATTTAGGATCTACAGAGATTGTTTTCTGGGGTTGAGTAGGAAGAAGAAAGGGTTGAGTAGGAAGGTGAAAGGGCTGAGCAGAGAATGCTGTAACATACAGTCTAGCAGTTATAAAATTCTGAAACATGCAACTTAAGTAGGAGTGCAAAAGATTTTTTGGTCTTGTTCACTTGTAATTAAGAACCATGAGAGTCATAAGAACTGCATTTTTTTTTTAAGAGAAGCCTTTCCTGGAAAATACATTGGTAGGGGAAGTTAGTAATTTTTTCCCACTTAATTTCAAAGCCTGTGTTGCAGTCCTGTGCGTTCCTAGTGCCCTTCAGTGCACTGTAGATATGGAAAGGTTCTGATTTGAAGCAAAAGAGAAGTTAAAGCTTTCTTAGGGCTTGTATAAAGAAAAAAAAAAAATGCAAGAGCAGTGTTTCAGTTTAGTTCAACCCAGGGTCAAGTGCTGTTGGAATCAGTGATGTTTCTATGGCATTAAGTGACAGGTCAGAGGGCTCTGGCCAGTTGAACTACAGAACCTTTTTTGCAGGTGCAGTATGTTTTAAAAGCATCCCATGTCTGGTTATAGCAGAGTAGTTCCTTCATGCTTTGAGTTTTGATATAATTTACCTACCTGAAATGTACATGTAAACTACTTCTGGCTTGCTAGAATTTCACTCCATCATATGAAGGGCTATGTATGTACCTAGACATAGAAAAAAAAAAAATGAGTAGTGTATCAAAAAAAAGCCAACCCCAAACCTTGATCTACAACATGAAATCTAGTTAACAGGTTTGAGTTGGTTTAAAAATCTATTTAATCAAAAGATTAAACTGAAGTGTCTGGTGTGGTTTTGCTACTTTGGTACAGGAATGTAGCTAAATCTTACTAGCTGCTACTTTGTCTTTAGAACTAACTGAAAATCATAATCAACTATTTAAGATTGGAGGGTGGGGGTAGAACAAGCCTTAAAACAGTTAAGATCCCCTGGCATTTCTCTGAGTATTGCAGTCATCTGTGTGCAATGTAAACCTAGATTATGATTGAACAGAAGTAACATGTATGCAAGCAGTTCTGCTAAATATATGTAAGCTGTTAATGATCTCCATAAACAAGCTTATCAATAGCCTGTTTGTTGTACAAGTACTGTGCACCAGATATGCACTGAGCAAGGTAACTCTTTGTTGCTTTCCCACAACCCCAGTCCATTCCCTTGCAGGAGGGCAGCATGTCTATGTAGTGATATACAAGTGATGTGTGTCACTTAGAAAGCAAGTGTCTAAATTCATCATCTCTTGCCTGGCCATGTTCCAGCTCTTCCCTTTTCCTCTTCTCTCCTGCAGACATGACACCTCATTAATGGTGCATGTGTGGTATTACAACTCTAGATGGTTTTTTATTTTACTTTTTTTTTCAGAGTTGCCTTTCACTCTGCTCTTTTTCTCTCCACAGTTGTGCAGAAGTAAGAGTGATTCTTACTTCTTTTTTTTTTTCTTTTTTTTTTTTTTTCTTTTTAAATTTGTTTCCTTTTCTCTTTTTCTTCCTTTTCTTTCTCTTTAGCGGACTGAAAATCAAAACTCTAACCCTCAACCATTATGCAAGTCTGAATAGCTGCTGTCTGTCTGGATAGTTAGAAGTCATACTATTTACTTTAACAATTTAAACACCCATATGCTTGTAAAAGTATTCCTAGGCCAACCAACAATCTCTGCTCTGGATACTAAATAAAACATTAGCACTCAAATTTAACTGCTCTTTATAGTTCAGTATTAAAAGGTCTCTTAACTTCCAGTAATACATGCCTTTTAACTGCACCGAAAATAGTATTTACTCAGTCTGCATGCTTTCAAACTCGGATTGTATTTCAGTAGCAAATTAAATTGACACAATGTTTTATACCTTCTCAAATTGCTATAGCTGTATCTGCAATGCATTCTTATTGACATGTTTGCCAAATTGGCTAATATTAGTCTAGCTAGCTTCGCTGTTCTATGGTGTCAAAACAGGGTTGATATGATTAGATAGGCAGAGAAATTTATACAATTGGGCTTACTTTATATGGGGCGTTTCTTGCTAAGAATCAAACCTACTCAATGCTAATGTAAAATTTAAAAATAAGCTAAATGTTTATTGGCTGTATGGATTCATAAAGTATCAGTAAAGGGCTACAATGGGTACTTTCTAAAAATCAGTATAGTCCGAGTTTTCGCATCCACTGTACCTTACTGTGTGCATTTCAAACTTAGATGCAGTTGCTCTTGTGATACTATCACATCTAACTTTTTTTTTAAATATTTTAGGTTTTACTGCGATCACAACAACTAATCCCATTTGGCTAGTAAAGACACGATTACAGCTTGATGCAAGGTATAGTGACAATGGGAAATCTCACTGCTGTGATAAGATTTTGCTTACATGTTGTGAATCTGTTCTGCATCCTAAAATGGAATGAGTCTTTAAGTATTCAAGATTTCGAATTAGAAAGCTGATGCTGATCTATCTACAAGTTACACTATAATTTTTATCTACTTTAATCTGTGTGTTCTGAGGCATGCCTGAGGCACTATAGTAGACTCTCCAGCAAATGTGGAATGAGTTACAAGGTTAACGGTCTCATTAAAATAATATTTTACCAACCACATGCTTACAGTTTCCTTCAGTAATACATTCTCTTTGTTTTTAGCTGTCGAGCTAAACATTCCTGAAGTAAGTTTTTAAACATTTTAGCAAAAGTTTAAAAAAATGCCTGAAACATTTTGGCTTTAATTTTTTACATACAATGAGCTCTAGCCTATACAAAGAGGAAGACTGCTTTCATGAATCAAAACACAGGAATTGTCCTTATGTGGGATAGTAAGTAGTTGTTTGGACTTAGTACAGAAATGATTACAGAAACTGTTCATTATTACAAAACCTGTAATGAAGTATAATTTTACGCAAATAGGGAGGAAGGCGACCCTTTATTCTCATGTATTTAAAACTGCAGGGAGAGACTGATATGTTGCAAATGTCTCAGCATTTGTGTGATCAGTGTCTTGATCATTTTATAGACTTTCTTACTGGTAACTTAGCATGCAATAGAAAAATCTGTCTTCAGCCATCCTAATACATTGGTGAGCCACGTATTCCTATTTTGGATATCTGTTGGACTTTTAAGTTAAGTGTATATTAACATTTTTCCTCTTAGCAGGCATGTTGTCAGCTGCAAGGTGACCATAGTAAATATATCCCAAAGCCAGTTTTACTGTGAGATTTTTTTTTTTTGTGATGCCATTGTATGATTGGGGTGATAATTCCATGACTAATTTCAAGGGGGTTTTGGTGCTGTGTATAACCTGATTGCATCTGGTGCCTCTGCTTGTTTTTCACTTAAACTGTAGGGCTGTAAGGACATTAGGGGAAATTATGGATTTTTTGTGCATGTTATTTCTGTGTAATATAACAAGCACATTGTTCATGTGGGAGACCTGAAGAAGGATCTTCTAACTTTGCATAAGACACTGCGATTACGTGGGATAGTCTAGCACATACACATTCTCATCTCTTCCAATTCAGTTATTAGAGGCATAAAAACGCTTGGCCTGTGGGATTATCCTGTTGAAGTTTTTCTCGAAAATCTTTCTGATCCTATTAAGAGCTGGAGGAGGCATGTGTTCTGTTTTCAAAGTGAAATTGCTTGGCCTTCAGGACAGTGGTGTGCATCTTGCACATCCAAAGAGCCAACTCTTGCAGCAGTGTGTGTCAGTGCACCTGCCCAGATGTGCCAGGGGTAGACAGGGTCTGAGGTGCCCCTGGGGCTGCAGTTGAAGGTCCAGCTGCTTTTCTCACCAGTTCTTTGACTCTCTTCTCTTACCTGTCAGGAAATCAGTGCCAGCCCCCCAGTTCTCTGCAGTATCTGCCACCTAGCTTAAGATCTGATATGCAACTGTGTGCCCACTCTCTCTCTCTCGTGGTTGGTGCCTTGTTTCATTGTTGTCTGACACTGCAGGTTGAAACCATCACAACTTAAATTCTGCCATCGAGTGACGCCTCATACTACTTGCATAATAGCTGCTGCCGCTGCCTGTCTTGCTTTGATGGCATCCATATGAGTTACCACAACTTCTTACAAGGATATTTGCTGTTTTATTCTGTGATTTGCTCACTCAGGAGACCTCTGCTGGCAGAATCCATATGCTTCAACGGTCTGCACTTGCTGCTGCAATGAAGCATATTTTATGCAGTGTTGTAGTGGTTTTGCATAGCTGTGTATACTGTGCTAAGTACTTCAATATTCACAACTGAATTCAGTAAGCAAGCTAAAAATGGGACTAAGATTTTATTTAGCAAATATTGCTTGATACAGTGATGTCTAGTGGGCATGTTCTTTGACATCAGCAGTGGCTTACTTGGGCTGCAATGATCGGTGTGTTAGTTGTTTGCTGATAGCTATGATGCTGTGAGGCCTGCTGTTTGAACTCTTAGCAGCTGGAAAATGGATATTTTTTTTTTCATGACTCACTGGCACAGTTCATTTGGGAGTGTTTTCAAGCAATTTAGTCCTTTACTCCATAACGTGTGGGGAGACGTAGAGCTGTTCAGCTTGCCTACATGATACTTTTTCTTTAGTCACCGTATGAAGTTTGGCTTGGGCTCAGTGTAAAGCTTTACCAGTGTTTAGTGCCAGAAGCCTTTGAGACGTGCACCCCAAGTTCTGTGCGTTCTTAAATGTAACTGAGTTGGAACCCCTCAGCATCAGTGCGAGATGCTTCCTAAGTCTTCTTGTCACTCAAGCAAAACTGGTTAATTATTTTCCAGTTTCAAGTTGCACCAGCTTGATATCTGTCTTGTTTTCTCCTTTTTAGGAATCGTGGAGAAAAGCGAATGAGTGCTTTTGAATGTGTCCAAAAAGTTTACCGATCAGATGGTATCAAAGGATTTTACAGAGGAATGTCAGCATCCTACGCAGGCATATCTGAAACTGTTATTCATTTTGTTATTTATGAGAGTATTAAGAGGAAACTGCTGGAGTATAAGACTGCTTCTGCCATGGACAATGAGGATGAATCGGCAAAAGAAGCTTCGGACTTTGTTGGAATGATGATGGCTGCTGCCACTTCCAAAACTTGTGCAACATCAATAGCATATCCCCATGGTAAGTGGGGCACGCGCAGCTGAGAGCCTCGATCAGATTGATCAAAGGGAGTCTTTTCAGTGATATTTGTAGGAGACTTGAGCTTGCTTGTGCAGGAACTCTGTCTAAAGATTTTCATGTCAGATTCTGCAAGTCAACAGGAATACAGTATTTGGAAATGGAACTATTTTTAAATGCCCGTGTAGCATGGCTGCTTCTTAAGTAATGTTTATTTTGCCAAAGGATTTGCTAGTGTATGGCCCAAAATACTTTTAAGTCCTTTTTCACTTGGAATTTCTCTATAGAGACTATTTCAGCAGTTTCACATGATTTGCCAGCAAATTCTTGTCCCCCTTCTAGAAGAACAGGCTGTCTAGTTTTGTTTTCAGTTGCGCTTAATTTTCATGCAAAGTAGTTGTGTATACACTGATTGTTAATGGATTGAGTACTTCATAAGTGGCAACTTCTGAGCTAAAATGTAAGCCCAAACAACAGTCCTCTTTTGAATTTTAATTAAGCAAATTAACTTTCTTGCTTAGATATCTAATATTGCCAAAAATTTAAATTGTTTTCTTCCTAAACATACTTTGTCATCTTCCTCTGTTTTTAAGGAGTTGTTTAGAGATTGAGAACTTGGGGAGGGGAAAAGGTTGAATTTTAATGTAAAATCACTAATTGGTTTCTAGGAAAGATAATGAAAAGTAGTGAATGTAACTACATGTGGTTTTCTTTCTACAGAGGTTGTACGAACAAGACTAAGAGAAGAGGGAACAAAATACAGATCTTTCTTCCAGACATTATCTTTGCTTGTGCGAGAAGAAGGGTATGGATCCCTCTACCGAGGTTTAACTACACATCTGATCAGACAAATTCCAAACACGGCTATCATGATGTCAACCTATGAAGTGGTAGTCTACTTGCTTGATGGATAGCAGCGTGACAGGGCTTCCTAGGAGAAGGTGGAAGATGAAAAGACTGGAGTGGACCACTGAATGTCTATGCCAATGTGGTGGGCAAAAAAAAAAGTAAAGTTCTATCAGGATCATGCAGCTGTGGACAAAACAGAAGGTTGATTGTGGGCAACTAATGAATAATTTTGCTGCCTTATTGTATGGTCTCTTGGCAATGTGACAAATGGGAAGTGCCCCTTAGGGAATGCCTTTATACATCTCTTAAAGTTGTTGCTTTCTTTTTCATCTGTTAATCTAGATGAGGCTTTTCAGTCAGCTTCAGAGATGTGATGGGTGAGGGAGCAGGCATAAAATACATTCTTGGGCAGCCTTATTCACTTATCGTAGTGATTGCTCTCAACTACATACTTCTTGTTCTGTTTTACTGCACAGTAACCTGTTGGAAGAATGGGGAGGACAGTACTTCCATACCTTTCCATACCCAAAACTTCCATTCAGTCACTCTGAAGATTCATAGAGACTGAGGTAGTAATTAGTGTGTAAAAGTTTTCTATATTGCTACCTCAAAACAAAATATGACACAGGGACCCAGAACAGAGTTATTTCTTCACTACAAAGAGTGATACTTTGTTTTTTTGTTTCGGTTTTTGTTTAGGTTTTTTTGTTTGCTTGATTTTGGTTTTGTTTTGTTTTTTTTTTTTAAGTTTGAGCAGTGTTGTAGGTTAGTGAGACAGGATCTGTATTTTGAGCTCTTCAGGTTATCAATCTGTTAATATTGGTGTATGTGGATTTCTAGTTATGCTGCATCATCGGTTTTCTTTTCTGGAACTTTCCGTAAGTAAGAGACCTATGAAGTGTTCTGCTATATCATCAGTTTTCCTTGCCAAACTGTCAGGTCACTCACACATAGCCCTTTTAAGGATTCTTTATGTGATGAGAAATCTCAACTAGTCCAGCCCACAATTTCTGAAGACAAGATTCACTCCAATAGCTTTATGCTTACTAAGAACAAGCTGTATTACCCTTAAATGTCTGGCAAATCCTTACTTGAATTACCAGTATCTATGGGGGGGAGGGCGTGCAGGAGGAAAACATATCACCACAGCTAAGGTGACCAGAAAGCAGCAAACAGGTGAAGTTGTGATAGATCTTTTCACTGCAGAGAGCCTCTGTGCAGAACAATGGAGAAAACTAATTGAGATTTTCTTGTAAGCATTCCCCTTAACTGCTGTATCACTTGTTCCAACTTGAGCCTGTGTACTGAACTGCAGCTGACAGTATAACCTTGTCCTCTAAATTGTGTGAATACTTAGGCATTGTTTTTGTTGTTCTACAAGCCCATTGGAAAACAAGGTGTTGCATTCACTAGTGAGGCTTAGCTAGTTTATTCTGTCATAATTTACAGGGTTTTCCAAAACCATACAGCTGGAGTGTCAAAATCAGAAGCTTAATCTTACAAGAAAGTGTACAACTTTCCAAACAGGTATATTTCATCTGCACCTTGAGTACTTCTCTGTCTGCATCCATGATCCTTATGAGGAAGATGATCAGTATAAATTGGGGGCAGTAACTTTCTACATAAAAACGCTGCTACACTCGTGTGGGCAGAACTGTGCTATCAATTCTTCTGGTGTGGTACTTCAGTACACTTAAACTGTGCGTTGTGTGCAATGGCTTTATTTTATGAATGACGACTCATGCACTTTGTGGCCTTCTTAGGGCTTAAGACTTTTCTTCCTCTTGCTGTTTTTCTGTAGTCAAACTGTGTTCAAAACATGCAGTTTTACTTTAAACAAAGCATGTGGTTTGATTTCTGTGTAAACTGTGCTGGTTAAAACATTTTATGCTGTAGATCCATAGCATCTCTGATGCAGTAGTTCTGTAGGCTGTACATAAAAGCTGGAAGCTTACAGAATAATCACTCTGGATTTTTCTCATTAGCTTTCCTTTATTTTGACGCTTGTCATGTTCTCCACACAGTGTCAAAGTATTTGAGTATTTCATGTAGCTTTCTGTATTAATTGCTCATCCATGTAAAAGCCACCTATAGTATGTACAGCAAAGTTGCAGTGGAGGCTTGGCTGTACTGACTTCCTTTTCCTTGGAAAATGTTACCTTACCTTTTTAAAGACAGACAGATAGCATGGCCTGTGATGTGACCAAAGGTGAACTTGTTTTAAAGAAGTGAGGGGAGTGCTTAAATGTGTGTTTTAGAGTGGGCTTTTTCTAGTGGTCTCTCTGGGAAAAGTCTGGAGTATTCATGACTGACCCAAGTCGTCTTGTGATGACATTGTTCAGATAACTAAGTGCAGGGATAGCTACTTAACTGTAGTTTTTGTTCCTTAAAAAGTGGATTACTCTCCAGGTTATCCAGATTATTTAGTCATAGCCAAAATTTAAATTGGCAAAAACAGTATTCAGCTTTGGAATTCATGAATACAATTAACACTTGGATTAGTTCAGGCTTCATGAGAGTTACTCTCCTCTGTTTATTGGATACGTTCTCCCTTGGTTACATGTTCATCTCCCATTAATTCACTGGGTACCTTGTGTGTGCCTTGTCTGGGTGATAACAGACCCCCTGGAGTTAAGTAGAAAATGTTAGCAATGGTAATTGAGTATGGGAGACAACAGCTAAAAATAGACAATCAGCTTATTATTCTACCTTTTTAGTGGGGGTTTAAGCAATGTTTTAAACTTCAGGGGTGATCATCTTTTTGGGTTGCTTTACATAATAAAACATAAACCCGAAGTTTCTTGGGATTTTTGTTTTTCTTAAACTATCAGTACAAAGTTACCTCTGAAATATTTCCCAAAGATCTTTAAATTATTTATATAGTTTTCTTTATATTTATTATAAAACCTCAAAGGAAATAAGAAGATGCTACATTCAGTAATATCTTCAACTCCAGAACTGAAAGGAGTGCATTTAAATTTCTTGTAACTTGAAATGGTCATCTTGACTTCTATTTGAATGTAGTGTAATTGTCACACTTGTCTGTGCTAGAGGCAGAGGTCTTGGGTGTCTGAAGAACTCTCAGTAACCAATTAGTTCCCTTGCCTAGGTGAAACGGAAATGTTACTGCAAGCTGTGACTTGGCGACCAGTTAAATTCGGGAAAGGCTGTGCGCCTGCGGTGTCCTGCGCCAGTCAGAAGATGGCACTGGAGCATGGATTCTCGGGCGGGAAAGGGGCTGCCCGGGCCCGGCCGGCCCGCCCGGCCTGCGGCGGTGCGCGGGTGGTCACCGACTGTCTGGGGCATATCGGGGGGGGGCGTGGCAAGGGGGCCCGAGTTTGGAAAGCCATAAAAACACAAATTTCCGTCAATGCAGTCACAGTTCTCAGCCCTTCTAGTATCTGTTTGGTTCCTGTAGAGCTGTGTGAAAAGGAACAGGTGAGTTGTGGTGTCTTGTAGAGGGTTCAGCCCAGCCTTTAAATTGACTGGTAGATCTGCAGTTTCTGTCAGAATTGCTGATCTGCTAGCCTATGTTGTCTTAAGTAGGTTTTCACTAGGGCTTTATGGAGGTTTTTGGTTATTGTAACTGAAACAACCTGTCCACTTGTATATTGACATTGCACCTATCTAGTATTCTGTTTACATAATGCACTCCATGTATTTCCTTTCTGATTGAGATGTTTGCTCATGACAGTTTCTCCTATTCTGTTTTTGTTCTTATAATGACACTTGTAACATTCCTCAGACTGTATCATTTAAAAGAATGCTTCCAGAGACAAATGATTGGAGAGCCTTTATGAATGTCACTTCCTGTTTAAACTGTTTAAATTCAGAAAACAAACTGAATACTGAAGTGTGCCTAGGTAAATGTACTACTGTTTTCAACTTCCTGTCTGTTAAGACTATTCTGTAAGTTTTCAGCTCTATTTAAGAGAATCTGCCTACCCTGCATATGTGAACATATTTACACCCTCGGAGTGGTAGCTAAACACTCACAAATGACAGTCTGAGAATACTTAAATTCTCATGTGAGGTTTGCTATTACTCTTGCGTACATGTAGTTGGCTGTAAACTGTGTGCATTTACTCTGTATTTATATAGTTAACTTTTTTGTTTGGATTGCGTTAAGCTTCAAATTAAAATGGTGTGCTTTATTCAAATGTTGCCTTCTGTGCTAAACTGTACATCATTTTTAACCTTTTACTTTTTCTATTATTGTTATATACCAGTGCCTAGAGAGTTGTGATTAAAAATGAGCAATTCATTAGGAGATTCCAGTGAATCATTTTATCTTGTGCCATTTTATAGTAGCTGAAAATAATATATCTGTATTGTACCTATAATATACTATTTTTGGAGGAGTTCATGGGTGACTTAAACTAGTTGGATGTGTTCTTGCAGTTGGATTTGAATACTATTACCTCTGCAGAACTAAGTGTTACTGTCTGTCAACTGAGATACAGTAACCTAGTGATCAGAAAGCTCACTGAAAGTGCCAGCTAGCACAAACCACTGCTGATGAAAATGAAGGGCAGTAATTCCTTACAATTTTCAGACTTAATTGCATGTGCAGTTATAACCAAGTCCTTGTATCTGAAACAATATTACATTTTTTTTTTCTTAACAGCAGGCATTTGATCTGAAATCTGTCCTCAGAACTTCTTCAGAAATCATTCATGCAAATGTATATCTAGGTTTTGGTGACTGTGTGCTATGTTTTTTCCCCTAGGTGTGTGTTCTGGAACTGAATTCTTTGCAGCTTTTAATATGGAGCTAGGCTTGATGTCTCTGATGTGATTCTTTCAGCAATTCAGTACTATTTTGAAACTTGCATGAAAACAGCACATCTGTGATCACTTTTTCTTTCAGTAGTTGTTAATGTGAATTGACCTACCTTGCTCTGCCTCTGAGACTTTCTACCTTCCAGGTCAACCAGGCTTAGAGGTGATGGGTCTTCTGGAATCAGCACAGGCAACCAGTGTGCTTATCCCTGACACTTCTGAAGTTATGCCTCTAACTGTCAGAATTATAATTGTCTGTAGTTGATCTTTCAGTCTGACTCTCCAAAAGTGGCATACTGGCAGGGCAGAAATCAAGTGTTTGGGGATGTTTTGACATTTGTGCTGCTGAAAAAACCCCTACTGCTGGAGGAATTGTATTAAGCTTTCCCTGGGCAAAAAGTAGGTATATAAAATGAAGGTATATTTAAAGTTCTATTGAAGTTACAGTTGGTCATTGATACAGGAGTGTAGTCTGACATAGATGCAACCTATAAACATGTGAGGTTTAACAATGATGTCTTTCACAGAAGAAAGCCCTTGAAATTGATAATGCACTTAACACTAAAATAAGAAGGTACCTCGAAAGACAAATCCTTATCTTCTATGCACTGTTGCCAGCCAATGTACTTTGTGCTGACTTCCAACATTGTTTTCATCTTGCACAGTTTCTGTCAAAGGCAGGAAATGCCAGGGATGGGACTCTCATTCTCATGAGCAAATTGATGCAAACAATATGGTGTATTGAACTGTGGAAGATGGAGAGGAGAGGAGGGGCTTTTTTTGTAGATGGAATATTTCAAGGGTTGCTCTTAAGACTGGTTTCACAACTACAGAGATACTTGTTAATGATAGAATTGTGTGAAGTTAATGAGAAGCTTTCAAAGACAGATGGTGAAACTTACTGCTAATTCTGGGTAGATTACTACCCAAGGAGTGTTTCCTCCCTTAACTGAGGCTGTTTAGAAGTCAGTAGCTTTTCCTAATCCTGATCCTGCAGCAGACAATTGGGATGGGACTGAGGGTGTAAATGCTGAAATTGTCTGGAGTGTGAACAAAATTCAAAGCAGTCTATTCTGAGACTTAAATCATCCATCTGAAATTTTGAAAGCAGGTGTTCATTGTGCAAGTGTGGCAGAAAATATTTTAAAGATTCTGTTAATTTAGGATAGTCACTATATAATTAGAGACTAAATAATGTAGAACCAGTATTTAAAAGGGAAAACAATTAAATGAGGAAAGTACACATTCATGTGTCTGTAGCAAGCAGAGCTCTAAGTTCATTCTGCTTCTGCAAAGTGTGTTTGTTTACTTTGCAGACATAAAGGTAACTGTATATGAAGCAAGAATTGATAATGTTAAAATAAGCTGATGATTACTTGTGATCATCTGTATTTTAGATGAAGTAAATGCAGGAGACCCAATTGGTCCTGGTTTTTTTTTTTTTCTGTGGAACGATGTGATGTGGAGCAACAAAGGAAGTCTCTAGATAATTCCAACATGAGTAAGATTTTAGCTAAAGAGAAAGTGTTTTGTAATGGGAACCATTGTATTGATGGTGGATACTACAAGTTCTTGATAACCTCTGAAGAAGACTTTTGCAAGAACTGGTCTCAGTGTTGTACTTGGTATGTCTGTTAATGGTTTTGATATAAAGACTTGGGCTACATTAGAGTGATTTGGGGATGATTAATCTGAAACAATTGGCAGTACATGGAGTTTTGAATATGATTTTTTTAAAAAAAGATTGCTTTGACCAGCAAAGTAAGATCAAATAACAGTGCAAAATGCATATTCAATCAGTTACTAATGAGAACTTTTGCTATAGGCCAAGAGTGTCACTACTTCTTCAGTTGAAAAGGAGAGAAGAAAATTACTCCAGGTAGTCTGTTCAACAACAAGCACTGTTACTTACCTATTAAAGAAAAAAAAAAAAAAAAAAAAATTAAAAAAAAAAAACCCTAGAGCTCCAGTATGCTAAAAGGAAGCATAAACAGCACTTCACATACAAATCTTGGGCTGAGTTAACCTGGGATGCGTGCACAGCTCTGGTTCATCAGATAAGTAAAAGAAAAGGGTATAAAAAATGATCACAGAAAGAAGTGTTTCTTGTCAGAGCATAAAACTGTAGCTGAACCTGATAAAATCTGAAAAGGGGTGTGGTAATTTTACATAGGAAAAAATTCAGAAGGGTATGTGCTATGGTTGAAAGTATTGTTACAAGATCTGCTGCTACAAATTGAAGAACTACTTGCTGGTTATTGTTACATCTAGTCTGAATGTAAGAAAGCTTTTAAGGATCAATGCAAAACAGTCTTAAATAGTAGTGAGAGCAGGAAGGAAGATGGTACCTCAGTGCCTGAGCAGCATGTGAAAGGAATGTCATGATCTGGTGACCAGCAATAGCAGCACAGACCTAAATGATCTATTCCGTGTGTTTAGTAGTGACTAGGCTCTCTGTTTATGAGTGTCTTAATCACCCTGTGCTTGTGGAGTGCATGTGGCTTGTTTCAGGAAGATTTACAGAAAAGATGAATGTGGTCTCATCTTACATTCCCCCCCTTCTCCCTTAGAATCAACCAATCCCAGGAACTTGTCTTTCCAGCGTTCCCTTTGATACATTTATGTTTAAGCAGTTTATCACTTTAACTGAACAAAATAATGTATTTTGTTGCTGATGTGAATTTTTCCTCTCTTATGTCACACGGTGATTTTCTGCAAGTGTTACATTCTTGTCAGTGTCTGAGGAATGACACTGTTGTATGCTAATATGCTAGAAAAGAATACATTGCTTTCTCAGGGAGCATGCAAGAAGTCAAGGCGATTCCTGATATAAGTCTACCTCAGTTGATCTAAACTGGGACTAAAATTTGCCAGTTCTTGTACTAATGTGAAATTACATCCTTGTTTGTTACTTTGTTCTGGCTACATCTAGTTATACTGTTTCCTGGTCCCTACTTCAGTTTAATGAGTTCATACAGTATCTTCCAAGCTAATAAGTTAAATAGAAATCACCTAACTATCTGTCTGCTTTGACATTTCTCTTCATATTATTGATTACTGTTGTGACTTATGATAAACGTTACAGGGAACATGCTTATGGGCTGGTTCAACTTAGTGCATTTTTCCTGCATGCAGTTGTTTTTCTCTAGTTTCTCAGGGAAAGGATTTTGTAGATTTAAAATGGATTGTGACAATGAACATGCCACATTATCTTTAGAAACAGCCATCCCACATCCATGAGGTTCAGCAAGACTCTTGTGAAATCATTCTGTGCTCATTTAGGTTAGGCTTTGGCTAAAGGTAAAGTGAGGGAGCGTTGCAGCAACAGATACAGAAAGAAAACTCAGCACTTCCAGGGTGACATCTAACTCGGCCTGTATGCAATCTATTTATGCAGTGAGGGTAAGTTTCTGCATTAAGCAAGGACTGTTCAATATTCACTCAGGGTAGACAGGCTAAAATGAGTATCAGTGAGAGCCTTATGGATACAGATACTGTAGGGAGAGCATGCCTCTTGAGAGAAAGCTCTCCCCAGCCTCTCTAGTTTATCCTTTGGATAGAAAAAGGAAGTGAATGATGAGAAAGTAACAACTCTGTTCTTAGTAATAAAGCACAGTAAGTGTGAACCTCTTCCTAGAGGTGAGACATTGAGCAAGTAATTCTGTGGGAAGTAACAGTGGATTTTCTGAGATATTCCTTGTTTTCAGCCCTATTCATGAGCAAGGTCTTCCAGTGAAGAAATTGGAGTTTGCTTCTTCATCCTCTGGAAATAGCTAGAGGCATGTATCCTGTTGTTACTCCTTTCACTGTCCACAAATACAGTTTCTTACAAAAAATTCTTACTGATGTGCAAATAACTTTTTTCTGTGGCTGATAAAGGGAGGCAAGCAGAATTTCTTTTCTAAGATGGTCAATTTTCATGATAGTCCTCAGGTGCTTTAATTCTGTCATTCCTTGAGGTATTTGTTTCCTATCTGTCTCTTCCGAGAAGTAGCTATCAGTAAAAGTTTACAGAGTTTATATTATCTTTTTCTGCCACTACAAATGTTTCCTGCCTTCACAGGGATTGAATGACTTGCAAGATGCTTTGGGGAGCTCCAGCTGGATTCGTGCTGGATATGTTTAAAGACTTTGGAATGTGGTTCGAATTACTTGAAACAAGAATGATCTGTTATCATTCACACATTTTCCTAAGAGGCTAGTTGAGGGAAAACACTGAAAAATTACAACTGTTCAGCTATGCTTGTAGGGTGGTCCAATATTATTCTCTAATTCATTCATGCAATAGACAAAGATTTAAAGTGCCTTTCTCTTTCCAATACTAAAATCACAAAACCAGTATAAAAAATATTGACCTTTCTCCGTTGGAAAAGAGAATATCTACCCTAGTCCCTATGTTACAAACAGAGGGGACTATTGCCAGAACTTTATAGCGTGGAAGTAAATGGAATATTACCTCTGGAGCAGCAGCAGCTTAGAGCCGTTAAAACCACACACACTGAAGTGCCTTAACCACACAGGGGTGAACCAGGTTGAGCTTGCAGTTCCCCATAGCTCAGTTCAGCCAGAACTATACTTCCTTCCCATCACCTTTCCCAGGGTAAAAAGTTGTTTCCTTATGGCAGGGCAGGAGCACAGGAGTGGTCCTCAGACATGATGGGATATTTCTGTGGGACAGTATTCTGGTAAATCTCAGGATCTGGACTTTTTATACGGGCTGTCACATAACTCGCCCTTCCCCCTCTCCCTGAGAAGGTGTGCAGAATTAATTTAGGAGGGATGGGATTTTTTAGAGATGACAGACATGAAAAGGCACTGAAAGATAAGTAAAAGTATGAGGGTTTTGGCTTAATGGAAAAGACCAAAAGGCATAACTAACACCCCTTCCCAAATATCCCAAAGACAAATCTTTGAGAAATTTAAAACTTTCTTCTTCCCTAGCTATGAAAAGACACTTCTCATTATTCAAATGGAGAGTTAGCAACATGTGGTGGCAGTATCTGCCAAGCTTTCTGTTCCTTACTAAAGATGAAGTAACATTGGGATTCAGTGCTGTAAATATCTTCCTAAAGAAGGATACAGGCGAAGAGACAGTATCTGGAGAAAACAGGGAGTTGCTATGGTTTTGAACGGCTTATTTGAGTCCCTGGGATAATGAGACTGAACTGAAATCTGGATTCAGTGTTACACACTATGTATGTCTTAATTATATCTAGTCTTCTTAGTTTGTATGTTCTGGGGAATGAGCAGAGGAATTTTCCTACTATCTGGTTTCTTCTCAGCCTTGTGTCCAAATGCAACTTTGAAGGAAGATGGAATAAAGCTGCAGCAATTCCTAGGCTTGTTTGTTCATTCAGTGTTGCCCCTATTTGCTCAAGCCAGATAAAGAAGTAAGCTGGAGAAGGGAGTGGGTTTAAACTGTTAACAAGGAACAAAGAAACTGCTTAGCTCTCCTCCCGATTTGACTTGGCATCTATTTACTAGATGCTTATTTCCTTGTGCGTGGTTGTACAGTGTTTGAGTTGCAGACTTCTAGTGTTAAAAGGGGTAATGGATGGAGAAAGCAAGGTTATTTAAGTGCATCGTTTTTTCTACAAGAAAACTAAAGTCAGCGCTGCAAAAAAAGCTTCTAACAGTAACTTCTACAAACATCGTGAGCTGACAGACTAAACAGCATTCTTGTGACTGAGCAAGAAGCCTGGTTGCTAAAGGCAGAGTAAGAGCAGAATGTCAGCAGAGTTACCCTGAAAAAAATGAGGTGGGTTATATGTAAGAGAAGGTTGAATTATTTTTATACTGAACCAGGCTAATTCACTCTTACATGAAATTAAGGCCAATACAAAAGGGCAAAAGAAAATTAGGTACTAGTCACTGAAGCTTTGCATAAGGGAAGATGAAATATCTTTCAGCTCACTCCAGAGCAGGGAATAGTCTAATAGTAGTAGTCTCAAAATGGCTTATTAAGCCTAAGGAGGTTTGGAGATGAAGTTGTGTAGTGTTTATTTGCAAGTCAAAAAGCAAATCTGCACTGAAGTGAGAATATTGGTGTATGCAGTAGACCCTGTCATGTAGACCAGAACTTTTTCACATGCAGTATGTCAGCATTAGCTGTCTACTTGAGTGTGTGGATGAAGGAAGCACTGAATAGACTGATGAATGTTACAGTTTTTCTTGAGCTGTGATGGATGATTGTATTCAGGCTTCAGTATGTACCAAACTTGCAGCATTTTGTTACTGACTTGGTGATACTGCAGCATAACATGATGATACAGCACTAAGCCCCCATGATACAGCATCTTTTTCCTGGAAGACTGCAAATGAGAAACTACTCGCACTCCTCTCCATGTCTAAAGTTGCCTGTACTACATCAAACTGATAGAGTGCAGCTTCTAATGGTTGAATGAAGAATACCTTATTTTTTCATTTTATATCAAAATGAGGAGTTTGGTTAACTTAGCTTTATATAATTTGCATGCCCCGGTTCCCTTGTACTTGATGGAACAAGATGCCGAAGATGGAGAAGTCTCGCCTTGCTATTCTGATACGCTTGGAAAGAGCTTGTTTCTCAAAGGCCTGTGTCAGCCCTAAGTAACTTGAAAGCTGGAGAGCTTCCTTTTTAGCATAAGTGTTGAAGCTGAGATTTCCAGGCATTACAAACCAGAGGAAAAGATAGTTATGCAAAAGCATAAGCCTTTGTAGTTGATGGATTTCAGATGGCTAAATGCCCAGTGCTGTAACCAAAGCTGAAACTGTACTGACCAACTCCTTTGTGAAAAGTCTTATGTGCTCTACACGTTGTTGCTATCAGCACATCATTCATTATGAGTAGAAAGCACCAAAACAGGTTGGTTGTGCAAAACCAGAGATACCTCCATACCATGCAGCACAGGAAAAATCTACAGTTTAACCCCTTCTCTACTTAAGAGATTGAGGAGGACATATCTAGACATGTGATGCTATAGACTGAAAAGGACTTTGGTGTATA